TGATTCGACGGTAAACAGAGAAAAAAAACAAAAAAACCACCTAGCAACATCAAACACGATGGAGAGGAATGATTCAGTCAATTTAATGCAAAGAAACATCAGAAGAGGCTCTAGAGATGAAGGTTCCCTGGGCCTCCTGATTGATGAAAAACATTCATGGGTGTGGGATAGTATATTCCTTTTTTGAGACACAGAAAGGTCCGTGATAGACCTAAATTCATGTCTCTCTCTCCTTCCCTGTAGAGAAAACCTTTTTTCTTTAGCTTTTTGTATAGTGAACTTCTACAATATTTGTCCTTTTGTGATTGACTTACTGCACTTAGCCTGATGTGAATGTTCCATAGTATTACATTGTGTGTACCTACCAGTTTGTTCATTTATTTGTCTGTAGATGGACACTTGCATTGTTTCCATCATATCACTATTTTATTTTTTCTTTAATTTAAATAAAGTTTACAGAGACTTAGGGTTTCCAGTCATTCATTATTGCACTTTTCTCTCTGCCCACCCCTCCCCCGAAATTCACTCTTCTCCTTGAAAAGAAAAACTCTTTCATTGTTATGCAATCCCTCCCCCCCAAGTCCACTCCACTAAGCAGCCTTCACTCTGGAATTCTGTAATGACAAGAATACGCATTCATATATGTCTTTTAAATAGTTCTCTCCCTCAGCTGTTTCAATGTTTCATCATTCCTCCCCTCCTTTTCTGTCTTCCCTCAACCCTGATGTCAGTCCCATTTTACAACAGTGACCCTATGCAATATTTGTCTTTTTGTGATTATTTCACTCAGCCTAGTGTCCTCCAGGGTCATCCATTTTGCATAATATTTCATGAGTTCCTTGTTTTTCAATGTTGCATCGTATTCCATTGTGTGAATATACCAGAGTTTCTCTATCCATTTGTTTGTTGATGGGCACTTGGGTTGTTTCCAGCTCTTTTCTATTGCAAACAAAGCCACAATAAACATGGGTGTGTATATATCTGCTTGGGTGGCAGTTATGGTTTCTTTGGGGTATATTCCCAGTAGTGGAATTCCTGGGTCAAATGGTATTTCTATTTGCAACTTTTTGAGAAGGCACCATATAGCCTTCCATAGTGGTTGCACCATTTTACACTCCCACCAACAGTGAATAAGGGTTCCAGTTTCTCCACAACCTCGCCAGCATTTGATGTTTGCTGTTCTGCTAAATTTTGCTATTCTTACAGGGTAAGATGATATCTCAATAGTTGTTTTGACATCATATCACTATTTTAAGTAATACTTTAACAAACATGTGTGTGTTTATATTTGTTCATGTCACATTCCTTACTACTTTAGCATATATACCTAGTAATGTGATTGCTGGATCAAATGCTATTTCCGTTTCCAACTCTTTAAGGGCCAAACAGCTTCCCATAGAGGTGGCATTGTTTTACATTCTTACTAGTTGAATAAGAGATCTCTCCACACCCTTGACAGCATTTGCAATGTTCGGACTTCTTGGGTGGGTGAATTTATGCTTGCTTGCTGACATTTATTTTTATTTGCTGATACTTTTACTGAAGCTCAACATCAAGAAAAAAAGATTTTCACCACTGGGTCACTTGGCAGCAGCATGACAGACAGTGAAGGGATTGAGATTGTTAACAACTTCCATTTGCTTGGCTCTACATTCAACACACATGGTATCAGCAGCCAAGAAATCAAAAGATGAATTGCATTGGAAACGTTTGCTGTCAAAGACCTCTCCAGAGTACTGAAGAGCAATGATGTCTGTAGACTAAGGTGTACTTGGTCTAGGACACGATCTTTATGATTCATCAAAAAGGTGAACCAATGGTTAGGGATGATAGAAGGAGAATTGATGCCTTTGAGCTGTGGTGCTGGAGAAGAGTATTGAATATACCATGGACTGCTAGGAGAACAAACAGATTTGTCCTGGAGAGGATGAGACCAGGGTGCTCCTTGGTTCTGAAGGATTCTGAAGCTCCGTCTGACATATTTGGGCATGTTGCAAAGACAGACCAGTCCTTGGTGAGGGACATTATGCTTGGGAGAGTGGAGGGACAGCACAAGAGAGGAAGACCCTGGATGACTTGGATTGACTCAGTGACTGGGGTCATGGGGTTTGTTAGGTTTGCTCAGGATAGAGCAGGGGGTTTAGAGCATTTATATATAGGGTCGCTATGAGTCATAAGAGACTCAATGGCACGTATCAACAACAACAATCTTTATTGTGATTACTTTAAGAGAGAGAGAGAGAGAGATAATTAAAACCCCATGAAGTGCAATTCTACTCTGAGCATGAGAGGGTGCCATAAATTGGAAAATTACACAGGGGCACCCAGACCTCGAGGCCAACTTGAGCCACAGGAACTTTGACTCATGACTCCATTAACCACACTCCAGGACACTTGGCACAGGAGCTTTCAGATCTGGAGTACCACACCAGCCAGCGGGAGGGTAAAGGGTCTTGGACCCTTGAGCATACCTCCAGTTCCTGGATGATCCTTTGATGATCTGCGGACACATTGCTGTTGCTGTGTACCATGAAGTCAGAACTGACTTGAGTGGGGTTTCAGAGGCAGCAAATTGCACAGGAGGAAACTTCCCATCTTCCTGCAGCAAAGCAGCTGGTGGATCCAAAGCACCTACTTTTGAGTTAGCAGCGCAATTCCTTACCACTAAGCAATCAGGGTAAAACTTTACTCCGAAAAGAAAGCCACTGCTGTGAAGGCTATTCTGGCTCCCAGCATCCCTGCTGGGCAAATAGAACTGCCCTGTAGGTTGTAAATAAACAAGTATAATAAAATAAAAAAAAAAAGAAGAAGAAGAAAAACTACCCCGTAGGGTTTCTAGGCTGTAAATCTTTACTGGAGCCAACTGCCTTGTATTTCTGCAGAAGAGAAGCTAGTGAGTTCTGAACACTGACCGCACTACACCCTCAGAGCTCTTTAAAATTCCACCCAGTTGAGTCCAATCCAGAAACTGACGGATCCCCTTAAATGTGGCAGGGCCCAGACCAGACTCCAAGGGCACAACGTCTCAGGCTTTGCTCTCTGGGTTCTTTCCTGGCTCTACCTTTCAGTGGCCTTGGTGCAGGTCAGCATCTCCTACCTTACAGCCTGGAACGTTAATTCATTCACTAATGAGGTGCAAAGATCAAAATGTACCACAAAGGTAGAATGTGAGAAGCCCCCTCCCCCAGGGTCAGTGCAACCCTGCTGGGACCTCTGAAGCTTCCGTGGCTTTGAATACACAAAAACCAAGTGTGCTTTGTATTAAAAAGAAAGAAAGAAAGAAAAAAGTTAGCCTACACCTGAAACGTCTGGCAGAGCATGCTCATAGGACTTCTGAGAGCAGTCTGGGTTTCTTCCCCATTTGAAACCGCTTTTTATTCCCTGGGATACAGATGGCTTGTGCTGTTCCAGTCCCAAGTGCTGTGTCAGTCAGCTGCTCTGTGAAGCCTCTACTGGGTGGTGGTAGTGGAGGCATCTCAATGAGGACTGACACATACCGGGTTCTTTTGGAACATGCTTTATGTTATGTTATTGTTGTGTACTATTCATAACTAACCATCCAGCGGGTTTTCAGGGGCAGATAAATCACATGGAAGCTGATGTTCCACCTCTCTCCCTCCGAGCAGTTGATGGATTTGAACCTCATACCTTTGCGTTGGCAGTGCAAATTCCTTCCTAAGCTTCCAGAGCTCTCTGTGTTGTGTAATTGGTATTGGTTATTTGGGTAGACACGCAGGCGCGGCTTGCTTAAATCTTAACGAAACCTTGGCTCCATTATAATGTGTCTGTCGACTGGTACAGCGGGAATACATACCTTGACCTATTGTTGAAAAGCTCCCCCCTATTGATTTTAATTTGCATTTCTCTAAAGAGGAAGGCGCAAGACCTTCCTGTTTTGTAACTGCTTAACTTTTCCGGAACTGTTTTGATTGCAGAATTGGTATTTTCATATAATTAAGGTCTGCTGCTTTTTCTTTTCTTTTTTGTTTTTTTTACTAAGATTACCCCTTTGTGACCAAAGTCGCAAGCATGTCCCCTCACCCTCCTCAGTTGACTGGTCAGTTTGCCTTCCCCTTCCCAAGACTGAAAAAGTTTTATTCAGAGACTTTTACTATCCCTTTTAGGCCCTCTGCGGGCTACCACGGAGTCCACGGGATTCCACTCTGATGGGGATGGTCACGTCTCCCAGGTGCCTGGATCTTTTTCCTATTTCTGTTTAAGTGAGCGTTGTGAATTAGTTCCTAGCGGCTCTGTGGCTGAGAATTTAAAAGCTCGGCCCACGCGTGATGGGCAGGGCTCTGCTGGACAGTGGGTGACCCTTCGGGGTCCCCCACGAGCTCTCCATATCCTATTCTCTTGCGCTGTGGTAGCTGCTCACCCACATCCTCCGGTGCCGCCGTTCCCATTCCGGAGAGTTGGTCCTGGAACGCCCAGCCCCTCCAGCTCCTGGACGCCCAGTGCTCTCCTCCCGCACCGACAACGCTCCCACGCCACTCTCTCTCGGTCCTACGTTCTCCACGCGCACCGCGTGACCCCCCTTCCTATCCCGTCCCGTCCACCACTCTACGCGCCGAATCGCCAGTCCTCGTCGGCACTCCTTCCGAGTCCCCCCCTGACCCACTTCCCCGCGCGCTCCACCGCGCGTCGCCACGTCTCCGCGCATTACCCCCTCCCGCCGCGTGCCCTACCACCCCCTCCGCCCAGCACCCCTCTGGCCAAATCCCCCCCGCTGGGCGCCCCCCTCCGAGCCGGCTCCCGGCGGGGCGGGGCCTCGCAGGCGGAAGTGCCCAGGGCGACCGCAGCGGGACCGGCCGGTGCGATGGGAGCCCCGGGCAGAGGCTGCGGCGGCGGTGGCGGTGGCCACAGTGGTGGCG